TCTTCTTTTTCTTCTTTATTTCTAAAACTTTTTGCAAGGACCTTCGTAAATAAATCTGTCTATATGTTGTATAAAGTGAATATTATACTCTTGCCACCAGGAAGTTTTTGTAGGCTTAAAGGATATTTTTATTTAAGAGGATTATTGCTTCGTAATAAATTCTAATATATTTGTGTATGTTTTCTCCTATACTATGAAAATCTAATATTATATTTATTGTCAGTGTGTGTGTGTTATAAAATGTATAGATTTTATTTGAAACTGTTGCCCATAATATTTCATCTCAATTACATTTAACGTGATTTTTTATGGGAGTTTGTGTGCATAGTTTAATTAGTTAATTATATTTTTTATAGGATTGAAAACTTTTAGGGGTTTGTTGTAAAATAATTAGACATAAAAGGTTATTTTAGTAATGAAAAGATAAAAATTGCACTTTAATTTGTAATATAAATGTTGTGGTTAATGTGGTTTAGGAAAATATCTTGTACTTACATTTAAGAGTTTTTTTTTGTGAAAGAATTAATTAAGAATGATAATTTAAGCAAATTTGTTGTTTACAAAGCAAAACAAATTAAGTCAAAAATTAGCATTTTTAATTAAATTAATTTTTTTAAAATTATTATGCTGCACAAAAAACACAAACATTTCTATAAAAGTGGACTTAGCACATTTTTACTCTAAATTAAAAACTTACGTATATCAATTGATTCTTTTTTTCCAGCTAATTAAAACTTTCTTTATCAATACAATATGATTTAAAAACTTTAGCCTACATTTACAAAAATTTTAAATTTTTCTTCTCTTAATATATTATTAATGAAATTATGAGGACTTTGAAATAATATATAAAATTCTATGATAATGTTCATCACTTGACAGCTATTGGAATTTTTGTTTGTCTGGTTATATATAAATATGTTACTGTTTTACGTAGTGGACTAACGTCATAAAATTCTAAAATAGTTTTAGATTTTGTAGTGACAGCTTTTGTTGAATTTATTTCAGCTATTAAAAAGTACTATAAAGTATAACAATACAAAATAAAACATTTTTTGTCATTCAAGTTAAATTTTTATAAAAATCATTAATATTTAATAAATTTTTTGGAATATTAGAAAAAATATGAATTTTCAATATATCTCACAAAAGCAAAAAGAAAAACACAATTTAGAAAATATAGGTTAGACTATAGATTATACTATTGACTGGACTATAGACTAGACTATAGACTAGACTATAGACTAGACTATAGACTAGACTATAGACTAGACTATAGACTAGACTAGACTATAGACTAGACTATAGACTAGACTATAGACTAGACTATAGACTAGACTATAGACTAGACTATAGACTAGACTATAGACTAGACTATAGACTAGACTAGACTATAGACTAGACTATAGACTAGACTATAGACTAGACTATAGACTAGACTATAGACTAGACTATAGACTAGACTATAGACTAGACTATAGACTAGACTATAGACTAGACTAGACTAGACTATAGACTTAGACTATAGACTAGACTATAGACTTGACTATAGACTAGACTATAGACTTGACTATAGACTAGACTATAGACTAGACTATAGACTAGACTATAGACTAGACTATAGACTTGACTATAGACTAGACTATAGACTTGACTATAGACTAGACTATAGACTTGACTATAGACTAGACTATAGACTAGACTATAGACTAGACTATAGACTAGACTATAGACTAGACTATAGACTAGACTATAGACTAGACTATAGACTAGACTATAGACTAGACTATAGAGTAGATTATAGACTTGACTATAGACTAGACTATAGACTTGACTATAGACTAGACTATAGACTTGACTATAGACTAGACTATAGACTAGACTATAGACTAGACTATAGACTAGACTATAGACTAGACTATAGACTAGACTATAGACTAGACTATAGACTAGACTATAGACTAGACTATAGACTAGACTATAGACTAGACTATAGACTAGACTATAGACTAGACTATAGACTAGACTATAGACTAGACTATAGACTAGACTATTGACTAGACTATAGACTAGACTATAGACTAGACTATAGACTAGAGTATAGACTAGACTATAGACTAGACTATAGACTAGACTACAGACATATTAAGTGAGAACCTATAATAGGGGATTTTTTTGAACTATTTCGTTCTTCAAAAGGCACTTAGAATTTTCTACAAATTTAACCTAAAACCATAAAATAAAGCATGTAGAGCCCAGATTAAGAGAGAACCTATAAAAGGGGACTTTTTGCTACTTTTTTGTTCTTCAAAAGGTACTTTTTGAACTTTTATAATATTGAACCTAGAAACATGAAATTAAGAATGTAGAGCCCGGATTACGTGAAAACACATAAAAGGGCTACTTTTTCGTTCTACATATGTACTTTTGGAATTTGGTAGAGCCGGGATTAAGTAAGAACATATAAAAGGGAACTCTTTGGAACTTTTTGATTCTTCAAAAGGTACTTTTTGAATTTTCTATAATACAACCTAGCAACGTGAAATTAAGCATTTAGAGTCCGGATTAAGTGAGAATCTATAAAAGGCGACTTTTTGGTACTTTTTCGTTCTTTAAAAGGTCGTTTTTGAATTTTCTATAAATTTAACCTAGAAACATGAAATTAAGCATGTAGAGCCCGGATTAGTGAGAACCTATAAAAGGGGAATTTTTGCTACCTTTTTGTTCTTCAGAAGGTGCTTTTTGAATTTTCTATAATCTTGAACATAGAAACATTAAATTAAATATGCTCTACATATGAGAACACATAAAACGGGACTTTTTGGTACTTTTTCGTTCTTCAAAATGTACTTTCTGAATTTTCCATAAATTGAAGCTAGAAACATGAAATTAAGCATGTAGAGCCCGGATTAAGTGAGAACCTATAAAAAGGGGACTTTTGGTTATTTTTTTGTTCTTCAAAAGGTACTTTTGAATTTTCTATAATATTGAACCTAGCAACGTGAAATTAAGTTTGTAGATCCCAGATTATGTTAGAACCTATAAAATGGGACTTTTTGGTACTTTTTCGTTCTTCAGAAGGTGCTTTTGAATTTTCTATAATATTGAACATGGAAACATTAAATTGAATATGTAGAGCCCAGATCAAGTGAGAACACATAAAGGCGGGACTTTTTGGTACTTTTTCGTTCTTCAAAAGGTACTATTTGAATTTTCTATAAATTGAACCTAGAAACATGAAATTAAGCATGTAGAGCCCGGATTAGTGAGAACCTATAAAAGGCGACTTTTTGCTACTTTTTCGTTCTTCAAAAGGTACTTTTTGAATTTTCTATAACTTGAACGTAGAAACATGAAATTAAGCATGTAGAGCCCGGATTAGTGAAAACCTATAAAGGGGTACTTTTTGCTACTTTTTCGTTCTTCAAAAGGTACTTTTTGAATAGTCTATAAATTGAACCTAGAAACATGAAATTACGCATGTAGAGCCCGGATTAGTGAAAGCCTATAAAAGGATACTTTTTGCTACTTTTTCGTTCTTCAAAATGTACTTTTTGAATTTCCTATAACTTGAACATAGAAACATGAAATTAAGCATGTAGAGCCCGGATTAGTAAAAACCTATAAAAGGGTACTTTTTGAATTTTCTATAAATTGAACCTAGAAACATGAAATTAAGCATGTAGAACCCGGATTAGTGAGAACCTATAAATAGGGACTTTTTGCTACATTTTCGTTCTTCAAAAGGTACTTTTTGAATTGTCTATAAATTAAACATAGAAACATGAAATTAAGCATGTAGAGCCCGGATTAGTGTAATCCTATAAGAGGGTACTTTTTGCTACTTTTTCGTTCTTCAAAAGGTACTTTTTTAATTTTCTATAAATTGAACCTGGAAACATGAAATTAAGCATGATTAGTGAGAACCAATAAAAGGCCACTTTTCGTTCTTCTTTTTCGTTCTTCAAAAGGTACTTTTTGAATTTTCTATAACTTGAACGTAGAAACATGAAATTAAGCATGTAGAGCCCGGATTAGTGTAAACCTATAAAGGCGTACTTTTTGCTACTTTTTCGTTCTTCAAAAGGTACTTTTTGAATAGTCTATAAATTGAACCTAGAAACTTGAAATTAAGCATGTAGAGCTCGTATTAAGTGAGAACCTATAAAAGGGTACTTTTTGCTACTTTTTCGTTCTTCAAAATGTACTTTTTGAATTTTCTATAATATTGAACTTAGAAACATAAAATTAAGCATGTAGAGCCCGGAATAAATGAGAATCTTTAAAATGGAACTTTTTGCTACTTTGAACCTAGAAGTATGAAATTATGCATGTAGAGCCCGGAGTAAGTGAGAACATATAAAAGCGGACTTTCTGGTACTTTTTTTAACACATCATGGTTAAGGGTATATAAGATTTGGCACAGTCGAATATAGTACTCTTACTTGTTTTTTTTTTACTAATATTCATTTAAACTTATAATTTTATAATATTTCATGAGAAAACCTTGTTTTTTGTAATTAGAAATAATTTTTTTACAAAAAATTTTAAATTTCTTAGGAAATCTATTCTCTATTAAATGATTTATTTTTCATTAAATTTGTACTTGTAATAAAATAAAATAGTACTCATTCTTTTTTCCATTGTTGCTATTTTTAAGCTTAAAACAATCATTATATTTCACCTTAAACAAACTTATTATAAGAAAATACTTGTTATAAAAGAACCATTCTGCTCGTGTCACAACAACTAACAACATCAAAACATTTTCTCGAAAACAAAGTGCAACATTATTTATACATGCGCTCTCTCGGTCAATCTATTATTAAGAAGTGCAACAATAGTTGTTGAAACAACAGCAAAAATACCTCGAAAGGGTTGTGTGATAAAGACAAGCCACTGTTCACTTACCTAGACTGTCTTAATTGTAACCTTTTGTTCGTTTAAACTTCCGTTTCCTGTAAAACTAATTAACTTTTCTTTTGTATCGTATATTGCAGATAATAATGTGTGGCACAGCTACAAGATAAATGCAAAAATAAAGACTTGTTCAACACAAACACACACATACACTTAAATTAACAAACAATATGTGTCAATCTTGGAAAGGTCTTGTCATATAAAAGCTTGAAAGGAGAAGAAGAGATACCACAACTACCCCACAGCAAGCAGACAAACAAAGACTGACAAAAACGACAAGAAGAAGGGGAAGACAAAGAACGAAAACGAAGCAGAATATGATGACAATGTCTAAGGCAAAAACAAAGCCAAGAAAACATGTTAACAGACAACAATTACCGCTTTTATGTTGGTGGCTTATCATGGGCACAAACTTATTAAGTTTGTGCAGTTTAACGCAGGCAATCAACTCAACAGTTAAGAACAACAATGAGGTCTTATACACAGTGAAACCAATAATGAAAACTGCAGCAACTACTACCAGTATTGCCGTCACTACAATCAATACCACAGATGCATTTGATACGGAAATTCAAAGTGCAACAGCCAGTAGACAAAAACTACTCAATGCTGATGTTGCACGAGAAATAAAGGAAATTGAAAAACAGCCAGTTGCTGCTAACAAAGACGGTCAACAGCTCAATACTCCAAACAACAAAAACTCTTCTAATATTAATGCTTTTAATGCTAATACAATGCTGGGGCATGAGTTGAATGAAAAGTTAATCTTATGGCCCAATACCACCATAGAATGGTTAAATTTAACGGATGTCTTAAACAACAACAACAACGAGGAATATATACAAACAAAGGCAACACCCGATCATAGTGTTAGTGTCAGCGGAAGTGCAAGTGGAAGTTTATTTTCTACTACTTTATCGTTTAACCATTCAGATCGAAATTTATTCACATTTCATGAAGACTGTTTAGCCAACAGCAACACATTGCCCCACATCTTCACCATTGTTTTGTACTCGGTGGTTTGTGTTGTTGGCTTGTTTGGCAATACTCTGGTCATTTGGGTGGTATTGAGATTTTCGAAAATGCAAACTGTTACCAATATCTACATTTTAAATTTGGCCATAGCTGATGAGTGTTTTCTTATTGGCATTCCTTTCCTGCTCTATACCATGCGTATTTGTAGCTGGAAATTTGGTGAATATATGTGTAAGGCTTATATGGTCAGTACTTCGATAACACAATTTACTTCCTCCATATTTTTGTTAATCATGGCAGCCGATCGTTATATAGCTGTTTGTCATCCCATCGAATCTCCTAAGTATAGAACATTGCGTATAGCCAAATTGGTTTCTCTGTTGGCCTGGTTTACTTCGGCCATTTTAATGCTGCCCGTTATATTGTTTGCCAGCACTGTGTTGCAGGAGGATGGCATAAATTATTCCTGCAATATAGATTGGCCGGAGGTTTATAAAAAACATTCCGGCACCACTTTTATACTCTATACATTCCTATTGGGTTTCGCCACTCCCCTGTGCTTTATTTTAGTGTTCTACTATTTGGTCATACGCAAATTACATTCAGTTCAGCAGAAACATAAATCCAAAGAAAAGAAACGTTCGCATCGCAAGGTCACGCGTCTAGTGTTGACTGTCATCACTGTGTATATTCTCTGCTGGTTGCCTCATTGGATTTCTCAGGTTTCTTTGATTAGTGCCTTTGTGGGACAACGTGAGTTATCCAGATTTGAGATACTACTATTTTTGTTATTCGGTTGCCTAGCCTACTCCAATTCTGCCATGAATCCCATACTTTATGCATTTCTCAGTGACAATTTCCGTAAATCATTTACACGCGCCTTTACCTGCATGAAACACCACGAAGTCGAGGCTCAGCTAATCAATGAACACAGTGTCTTCACCCACAAACGTGCGGGTAGTGGTAGTAAAAGGAAGAACTCTAAACACTTAACTGTGCCGGGCCGTGCCGCCATAGTGCAACAAAATAGTTGCTCCTTTTTGGCTCCCACTACTGTACACCATAGCGGAGGTGGTTGTAGTGCTGTGGGTGGTGGTTCCTCATCGGCCACTTCAACTTCCACCGCAACCACAGCCACCGATAAGTCTTCAAATATCTCTAGAAAACCAAATGAACATTTGAATGGTGATGTTGTGCAGACGGTGGTGTGTGCACCAAACAATGATGTCGGTGAAGGTATAAACATGGTGGTGAGTCATGACCAAAGGTCACAGGGTTTTAAGACGGAATTGTGTCCTTTGGAAATGCAAAATCAAACGGATGTTTAAAGTGTTTTTAAATTTGGTTTAGTTTTTTAAGATAGCTAGTTGAATGTAGTTTAGACTATAGACTAGACTATAGACTAGGCTATAGACTAGACTATAGACTAGACTATAGACTAGACTATAGACTAGACTATAGACTAGACTATAGACTAGACTAGACTAGACTATAGACTAGACTATAGACTAGACTATAGACTAGACTATGAACTAGACTATAGACTAGACTATAGACTAGACTATAGACTAGACTATAGACTAGACTATAGACTAGACTATAGACTAGACTATAGACTAGACTATAGACTAGACTATAGACTAGACTATAGACTAGACTATAGACTAGACTATAGACTAGACTATAGACTAGACTATAGACTAGACTATAGACTAGACTATAGACTAGACTATAGACTAGACTATAGACTAGACTATAGACTAGACTATAGACTAGACTATAGACTAGACTATAGACTAGACTATAGACTAGACTATAGACTAGACTATAGACTAGACTATAGACTAGACTATAGACTAGACTATAGACTAGACTATAGACTAGACTATAGACTAGACTATAGACTAGACTATAGACTAGACTATAGACTAGACTATAGACTAGACTATAGACTAGACTATAGACTAGACTATAGACTAGACTATAGACTAGACTATAGACTAGACTATAGACTAGATTATAGACTAGACTATAGACTAGACTATAGACTTGACTATAGACTAGACTATAGACTAGACTATAGACTAGACTATAGACTAGACTATAGACAGGACTATAAACTAGACTATAGACTAGACTATAGACTAGACTATAGACTAGACTGTAGACTAGACTATAGACTAGACTATAGACTAGACTATAGACTAGACTATAGACTAGACTATAGACTAGACTATAGACTAGACTATAGACTAGACTATAGACTAGACTATAGACTAGACTATAGACTAGACTATAGACTAGACTATAGACTAGACTATAGACTAGACTATAGACTAGACTATAGACTAGACTGTAGACTAGACTATAGACTAGACTATAGACTAGACTATAGACTAGACTGTAGACTAGACTGTAGACTAGACTGTAGACTAGACTATAGACTAGACTAGACTAGACTATAGACTAGACTAGACTATAGACTAGACTGTAGACTAGACTATAGACTAGACTGTAGACTAGACTATAGACTAGACTATAGACTAGACTAGACTAGACTAGACTAGACTATAGACTAGACTGTAGACTAGACTATAGACTAGACTGTAGACTAGACTATAGACTAGACTGTAGACTAGACTGTAGACTAGACTATAGACTAGACTGTAGACTAGACTGTAGACTAGACTATAGACTAGACTATAGACTAGACTATAGACTAGACTAGACTATAGACTAGACTGTAGACTAGACTATAGACTAGACTGTAGACTAGACTGTAAACTAGACTGTAGACTAGACTATAGACTAGACTATAAACTAGACTATAGACTAGACTATAGACTAGACTATAAACTAGACTATAGACTAGACTATAGACTAGACTATAGACTAGACTATAGACTAGACTATAGACTAGACTATAGACTAGACTATAGACTTGACTATAGACTAGACTATGGACTAGACTAATAGACTAGACTATAGACTAGACTATAGACTAGACTATAGACTAGACTATAGACTAGACTAGACTAGACTATAGACTAGACTATAGACTAGACTATAGACTAGACTATAGACTAGACTATAGACTAGACTATAGACTAGACTATAGACAAGACTATAGACTAGGCTATAGACTAGACTATAGACTAGACTATAGACTAGACTATAGACTAGACTATAGACTAGACTATAGACTAGACTATAGACTAGACTATAGACTAGACTATAGACTAGACTATAGACTAGACTATAGACTAGACTATAGACTAGACTATAGACTAGACTATAGACTAGACTATAGACTAATCTATAGACTAGACTATAGACTAGACTATCGACTAGACTATAGACTAGACTATAGACTAGACTATAGACTAGACTATAGACTAGACTACAGACTAGACTATAGACTAGACTATAGACTAGACTACAGACTAGACTATAGACTAGACTATAGACTAGACTATAGACTAGACTGTAGACTAGACTATAGACTAGACTATAGACTAGACTATAGACTAGACTATAGACTAGACTAGACTAGACTAGACTAGACTACAGACTAGACTATAAACTAGACTGTAGACTAGACTATAGACTAGACTATAGACTAGACATAGACTAGACTGTAGACTAGACTATAGACTAGACTGTAGGCTAGACTATAGACTAGACTGTAGGCTAGACTGTAGACTAGACTATAAACTAGACTATAGACTAGACTAGACTATAAACTAGACTATAGACTAGACTATAGACTAGACTATAGACTAGACTATAGACTAGACTATAGACTAGACTATAGACTAGACTATAGACTAGACTATAGACTAGACTATAGACTAGACTATAGACTAGACTATAGACTAGACTATAGACTAGACTATAGACTAGACTATAGACTAGACTATAGACTAGACTATAGACTAGACTATAGGCTAGACTATAGACTAGACTATAGACTAGACTATAGACTAGACTATAGAATAGACTATAGACTATAGTATAGACTAGACTATAGACTAGACTATAGACTAGACTATAGACTAGACTATAGACTAGACTATAGACTAGACTATAGACTAGACTATAGACTAGACTATAGACTAGACTATAGACTAGACTATAGACTAGACTAGACTATAGACTAGACTATAGACTAGACTATAGACTAGACTATAGACTAGACTATAGACTAGACTATAGACTAGACTATAGACTAGACTATAGACTAGACTATAGACTAGACTATAGACTAGACTATAGACTAGACTATAGACTAGACTATAGACTAGACTATAGACTAGACTATAGACTAGACTATAGACTAGGCTATAGACTAGACTAGTCTATAGTCTATAGTCTATATTCTAGTCTATAGTCTAGTTTATAGTCTAGTTTATAGTAATATGACCTAGATCGAATTAGTTTATAGTCTAGACTATAGGCTAGGCTTTATCCTAGAATATAGATAGACTAGATTATAGAACTAATCTATAGATGTTTTAGGAAAATAAAAGGCGAACCTTCGAATTTAGGCTCTATGTTTTTGTTTAGTATTTTTTTTATAAAATTTGCATCATAATTGATTTATTTCCCATTTATTTTTAACATTAATATTTAAATAATGCAACTAAACTAACACCATTCAGTTTTTAATTAAATTCATAATATAAATTCTATAAAAATTTATCTCTGGTTATTTTAAAAAAATATATGACTTTATTCAATATTCATTTAATTATAACTGCTAACAAACTAAATTAAGATTTAAACCAAAGATTAAATTCAATTTTTATTATACATAATATTAAAACTATATAATATTATTTATTTATTAATAATAATATTACAAATTGATAACACATTATTAAACGTAACATGCATGTGTAAAGCATTTATAAATTAAAAATTTAATCTCTTTTATTATAAATCAAAAATATTTATTATATTTTATATACTTTTTATAATCTCAAACATGATAAAGCAAAAATTATGCAAACAAAATAAACTGTTATGAAAATGTACATAATATTTTAGGATTAAAACAAAATGCTTAGTTAAACACAACATAAATTGTTAATAAATAAGCTAAAAATTATTAATTTATTATTGTAGAAAGAAAAAGAAAACAACATTGTTTAAAAAACTATGAAAATGTAAAACATTTGTCTAACAAAGACTGTAAACAAATATTAAAAAGTTTATTTTAATATTTTTTTAATAATATTTTTTATTTAAAATTATAACCTTTGAAGAAATTAAAGAACATATTGTAGTAGTTTTGTAAGCTTATTTTTAATAAAAATAAATTGCCGCTTGCTAGGCGCTTTAAAAATAATTCAGCAATGGATTTTGAACTGTAAAAATAATACCTTTCTTTAAACTAATACTTGTTTTACAATTGTACATAAGTTTAAGGGTGATTTTGGGATTCAGTAGTTGGCTAAATGTTTTATAAAAGTCACTCGGTCCAAATCCGTCTCTTATATATGGAGAGATAACAGCAAATTGCTTTCATTCTGATGTAATTGAAGAGGTTTTAGGTACGTTGTCATTAAAATACTATAAATAAGATTAAAATGTGTTGCCGTCAGTTCAGTGCAGAAAAAATTTAGCTCAGACTCAAACCTTTGAAAATAATGAACAGTAGTACATTTTTAAAAAAATTTTCATGACTTTCGAAAAAAAATCGAAGGGATCCAAAAATGGACCCGATTTTCGGATTCAGCGGGTGACCAAAACGCGTAATAGGTTTTTTCGGCTCGATTTGGGCCGTATTTACGGAGATAAATGCAAAAAACATGATTTTTTGGGATTTTGCATGAAAATGTAATTTTGTAATTTTGCAAGATTTTTTTGGGGTAAACGTCACTTCCGTTTTAGCAACACACCCACTATCATGAATGAAGAAATTTTTGGCCAAAAATGTAAAAATTCGTTTTCATACAAAATCCCAAAAATTCATGTTTTTTGCATTTATCTCCGTAAATATGGCTCAAAACGAGCCGGAAAACGCTATTACGCGTTTTGGTCACCCGCTGAATCCGAAAATCAAGTCCATTTTTGGATCCGGTCGATTTTTTTTCGAAAGTCACGAACATTTTTTAAAAAATGTACCACTGTGTGTTTTTTCTATAGGTCGTTGTCTTTGCTAACTGATTTGCAAATAATTAAACCAAATTGTGTTGCCGTCAGTTCAGCGCAGAAAAATCTAGCTCAGACTCAAACCTTTGCTTATAATGAACAGTAGTACATTTTTTAAAAAATTTTCGTAACATTCGAAAAAAAATCGACCGGATCCAAAAATGGACTTGATTTTCGGATTC